GATATTTAAATTTTTGAATTACAAATCGAATTTTATTGTTTAAATGAAAGAATATAGAATTTTTTGAAAAATATTTTAATGAATTTTTAATTTAATGTATTTTAATTCTAGAACAGATATTAAATTTATAAACTTTTATTTTTGTAAACAGAAAACAAGTAGGTGAGAAATTTTCAGAAATTTTTGAAGATAATTTTGAAGAAGACGTGATTTTATAATTCATTTATTAATTGTAAAAGTCTAAATCTAAGCGAATAGAAAATTTTAAAGGTCATCTGCTATTCCTTTTGAAATTATTCGGTTTCAAAACTTAGTTTTTCTCTAATATGTCCTATTTTACATTTTCTCTAAAACTCAATAGAAAATTAAGGGGTACAGAATGCCAAGCACATAATACTTTTTAAATTAATTTTTAACAGAATGATATTTTTTTTTGTATAGCGATACAAGTATACCGAGGCTTAAAAATATTATGCTTTTCAAAATTTTTAATACAAAATTTAAATCAAGGTCAAAAATTTTTTAAAGGAAATTAATCGCGGACACTCTCTCTATATATTCTTATATAACGTATTTGTTATATTATCTATATGTATGTAGGAATATATGTATGTATGCATATTTAGAAACATAAAATGATGTAGGTATAACAAGTATTTTGTGTTTTTTTATTTCAGAAACAATAAAAACATGAAGTATAATTGATTTTTTTCTCATTATGTTCCCATTGAAATCAAATTTTTGTTTTTATTCTAAGTGTCTATTCTTTTCTTTTTATTTCTATTATTAAAAATTCTTCTTAATATTTTCTATTGTTATTTAAAAAAAAAGTAAAAAAAAAGTCATAAATATTGTGTGTATGCGGGTATTATTCTATTTTTCATTTTATGAAGGCGGTGGTGGCGACGGCGGCGTTCAAAATATTTTTCCACAATTTTTCATTAATATTTTCGATTTTCTTATTTTTTAACAACAAAGAAAACACAAAAAAAAGTATTAAAAGAAATATGAGAAAAACCAAATTGGTAATTTGTGGTTTTGCATAAAATTTTTGTTTTATTTTTTTTTTCTTTACCATTTAATATCATCGTTTGCATGTCTAGTTGTCAAAAATTGAAATACGGAAGAAAGTAAAAGTTTATTATTTTTCATAGAAAATATAAGCAAAAAAAATAAGGAGAAAGAAAATTGTTGAAACTATAACGGTACTTTAGTTTTTAATATTATATACGTGAGAACGTAAAAATATTGTTAATTATTCAGATTTTATGTATAGGGTTTTATTGAGAATGAAAATATATACAACACCTATAGATATGCAATATTTAAGTGGTATTTTGTAAATAAGGTTTTTATACAAAATAATATTTTACTGCTTTACTTTTTAATTATTTGTACATTAAAATTTATTGATAATTATTTTAAGGAAAATCGTGTACCCTTTTTTTTATTACATTGATTGTTTTCTTAACAAAAGTTTTTCGAAATATCAATGAATTATTCATTGATTTGTTATATTACGTATATTCAAAAGTAGAATTTGAATTTTTTTTACTATACTAATGTAGATCAAAGTAGGTTACTAAATTATCAGCAAATATAATTTCAGAATAGTTTTCCAAAATCAAATAATCAAATATGAAATAATTCATATGATTCCATCGCTGTAATCGAAAATGAAATGTTATAATATTGCAAAAGCATTATTCTGGATAATTTTCTATACAAGATATCTCTTCATAATTAACTTGATTTCAAAATGAAATTCTAATTTTTTAAAAATTTTTTACTTTACTACCAAAAATTATGGGATTTTTAATTATCGCGTATATTAAATACATACATTTCTTTAAAATATTTAAAAATTTTGTATTTCTATTAAAATTTCATTGATCTCGATCGGTGATTTACGTCCATTTTATGCGTTTATTTCAATAAGAAATTAACAACAAAATTATTATTTTACTTTCACTTACATTTTGCTATATGTACTTTGTTGTACAAAATTTCACTTATTGCGTTTTGAAAGCATATATTATCCAATTGCATTTAATTTAGAAATTATTGTACAAATTATGTATAAATAATATTACATTTAGATTATCATTATTAACAAATTCATAATGTTACGAGTATGATGAAGACTATGCAATTAACATGATTTTCTTTATAAAATGACGTAATATAGGAATTTATTCGCTTTACGAACCATAACGTACATCACATGAATATTCATAAAAATCTTCATAAACGGTGTATATATTTCTATATACTTCTATTTTAATTACACTGTTAAATTTGTTTTTTCTTTGAATTTAATATATTGGAAAGATGATGATGGCATCTCATACATATATAACATAGTTAGAGGCAAATGAAAAAGAATTACGTTCGTATATAAGGTGTAATTAAATAAGTGGGATTTTAAACATTTAAAAGAGAATTAAAATTAATGTTTAATAGAATTTTTTTTTTGTTGTATATATTGTGGGTACTTATGTACATATATGTATGTATTTGGAAAATGATGATAACAAAAGATGTCTGGCTGCCTCTCTAAACCATATTAATCGCATATTTCTCATGTTTTCAAATTAATTATAAATTTTTTTTTGTTTTTGTTTGTGTCATTTTTTTATTAAACAATTAAATTTTTTCTCGAATATTCTTCTTTTGTTTTAATCATTTAATAAAATATTTTGGATGATTTCCAAAAAATACAAAATAGCAAAAAAAAAATTATTTTTTTTTTATGCTGTGTATATTTATTTTATAATTTTGTTTAGAAAACAAACATAAATCTAATAAGAGGTGAAAATAAATTTTTTCTGAATGATGCCACTAACCGGTTACTCATGGCAAATGTGTAGTTTTTTTATTTGAGATTTGGTAATATTATAATAGCTATAAGTATACTTGCAGATTACAATGAATTGTTTATACAATAATAAAATATTCTATCTATTAAGAATTATGTATAATGACTTTTTTGGCTTCAGGTATTTCAGTTTAGGAAAATTTGATCAAATTATTTAATAATTTCAATAAAATGATGTTCAATTTAAAAAAAAAATCCTACTTAAGTTGCTAGTAATATTACTGGGGTTACAAACAAAAATTGCCTGATTTGGATTTAGTTTTCCTTATATTTTATAAATTCAATATTTTGTTTTATTGTTTAATCTATATTTAGTTAAAATTAACCAAAATATACTCCGATTGGTTTTAAATTTTGCCCTTAAACACCGATTTATACATAGCGAAAAATTAAAGTAGATCTAAGATTTAAGAAAAAAAAAACCTTTGTCTTTGTACCAAAATCAAAATTTAATTCGATCATCTGTAATAAGTTGGTCTCAATCGAATATGATAAGATGGTTGCAATCAAATGGAATAGCACGGCTACACCACTGATTGAGTATACTACTATGAATAAATTTTTACATTTCAAAATGTATTTGTGAATGAATTTTATAATTGGTTTTTGATTTTCAAAAAACACTCTTGAGTTCAAAAGCAAAAACAAAAATGAATTAAAAATTTTTATAGAAAAAATCTGATTAAATTTAAAGGGAATCACATACGAATACGTCATAATTTTTTTTTTTATTTGCTGTTATTCTTCTTTTTTATTTATTTGTTTTTTGTAAACATTTTTTGTGATTATTTTTTTTCTTTAATTCTTTTTTCGGTTTTGTTACATTTTATTGATATTAATTTTATTATAAACATTTCAAGTTTTGTTATTATAAGAATCTTAATTTGTGTTAAAGAGATTTTTTTTTTTTGGATACAAAAGGAAAAAATAATAATCATTGGATATTTCATTTGAAATGACATTGAAAATATTATTATGATTTATGTTGAAAAATGTGTATATATATACATATGTATACGTATTATATATAGGAAATGATTAGAATTAGTAGTATGGACCTTTAAATAGTATATGGAATTTTAGAATATTGTATATAGGATAAAAGATATAAAAGATTTCCGGTTTTAAGTTATACCACAATATTTGATATCAAATATTTTTATTGAGAAAATATTAAAAAAATAAATGAGAATTCGATTGTCGTGAATGGCAAAAGGGGAAGAGAGACGAGTGAAGAGTATAATGTACTGTATATCGTATACAAGTTTAAAAAGGGCCTTAAGTTTACACAATAGAAAGAAGTTGCGGAATAAAATAAAAAGCTAGTTTATCGGACATCGATTAATAAATGATTACTTCAAAACTATTTAATTGAAAATTTAACCATTCTTAAATTTTTAATTAATCTACTTAACTTCGATTTCCTATATTGTAAAAGAATTATATTTTTTTAATAAAATTGATTGACGCTAAAATTGGCAAATTAATAATGCTTGATTTCATGTTAAAAAAAAAAAAAAACAAATTTTTATCAGAAAGTGAATTTATTAAAGCGAAGACGACGTTTAAGGCGTTTTCATTTTTTTTTATAAATCTCAGAACGTTCTTCTTCTTTTTAAAAGGAGGTGAGGGTGATTAAATTGCACTCTACTATTCGAAAAAATTTTCAGATTTCACAGATTTCACACACTATTTTTGTAATTTCAAATATGAAAAATTAAACTCTATTTTGTTTATTTTTAAAATCTGAGCTCCTAGATTATAAAATTTTGTTATAAACTGTGATAGCAATTGTCGATACTTTTTTTTATATATGATTGCACTTGTTCATTTTATAAATGTTTTTTTATATAACTGACAAAATTACTCGTATAGCACTACGAATAGTATTTACACGATCATTCAATGATTTTATTTAATATAATATTTAATTACCTATACATACGAGTATATACATAAGTATTATTTAAAAATATATAAATATGTACATTTATTAAGTATATTAATTAATATAATCAAAATTATAATTATATTTTTTCTTATTATTTAAATTATTTATTTAATTGCAATACGAGTATACTAATTTTTTTTTCATTTATTTATTTTCTTGTTATAATTTTAGGATATTGCTGCATACATCAAAAAAGAATTTGATAAAAAATATAATCCAACATGGCATTGCATTGTTGGACGAAATTTTGGTTCATATGTAACACATGAGACTCGTCATTTTATCTACTTTTATTTAGGTCAAGTGGCAATCTTACTTTTTAAGAGCGGTTAAATAAAACATACAACAAATTACAAAATAAAAAATATATATATATATAAAAATAAAAAATTAAAATAAAAAAAAAACACAAAAAAAAATGTATATCTTTAATAAAATAAAATAATATAATATGACGTAATATATAGTTTATACTATATACATATATATATTAATAAAAATATAATAAAATATATAAATATATTACATAAATTTATTATAAAATATTTGTAAAATGAAATAAATCCAAAACTTCAAATTAAAAAAAAAACAAAAACAAAATGGAAATGCAAAACCGATTCAACTTACAAATCTAAATTATATATAAAAAAATGAAAATAAATTAAATAAATTAAATTATAATTATAATAAATGAAAATTAAAAAAAAAGCATACAAAAAAAAAATAAATATTGAAAAAAAAATTAAAGAAAAACAAAAAAAAAACACAAATTAATTTCAGTTTAAAAAAAAATTAAAGAAGACGAAAAAATATAAAAGAGAAACAAAATACAAAGATTATAAAAATAAATTACAAAAAAAAAAAATAAATAAATATGATTATGTATAATGAATTACAGAAAAGAGAATGAAATATAATTGTGTAAATGTTTTTACTTTTAAGATATTTTTATGCTCTATATGATTTTTTTTTTCTTTTTTTGATTTTTGTCCACCTTCCTGAAATAAAAATAAAAATATTATAAAAATAAATAATGTATTTTAAAAACTTATAAAAATACATACATATATTATATATATATATATATATATATACATATACGTTACATACAGACACAATAGCATTGTATAACTTATTACACATACCACAAACACAAATATTCAATTTCAAATTCTTATTATTTTCTTTATATAATATCGTATATCGTAATTTTAAAGTTATAAATTCTGATTTATTTTTTTTATTATTAATTTAATTATATAATGAATTAGAGATATAATTTTGTCTTAACCTAAATTACATATATGAAAATTTCATTCTAAAAAATAATTTTTTAATTTCCAGTTTTTATTTTCGCAATACACAAATTACAAACCATAACAAAAAGTTAAAATTAAAATAAAACAAAAAAAAAAAAAATGCGCAAGAAATCCAATGCAAAAATAAAATCAAATAACACATTTAAAAAAAAAAACAAAAATTTCACTTTAATTTTTCATATATTTAAAAATTAAAAAGAAAATATATTAAAGCCTCTCCTACCCCCCTGCCCTGTTCAAGAATTTTATATAATTTACTAAATTACTTTATATTTATACAATACATAAAAAAAAACAAACTAAACTTGTAATTTAGAAGTAAATATTAAAAAAGAGAGAAGAAAAAAAAACACAAATCAATTAAAAAAATTAAAATAAAAAAAAAAACAAAAATCCATTATGTAAGTTATAAACAAAAAAAAAACCAGAAAATAAAAAAATATTATACAGTAATAAAATAATTTTAATGTGTAAAAAGAAATAAATATATAGATATTAAATGAAAACAAAAAAAAAACCCAAAACCAATAACTAAGATCAAATTATCAGTAAAAAATAAAAAAAAAAACATTAAATTCTTAAATATTTAAAAAATATGTAGCTATTTTATGCAAAACAAATCTTTTTCCTTTTTGTTTTTAAAATCTTCACTGACTCAATTCATTATTTATATTCAAATAAATTTAATCCTTTATCATTTTTTAATTATTTTAATTATTTTCTAGTCTTATGGCTTCAATATAAAATTTAACAAAAACATACACAATTAAATTTCAATAAAATTCATTTTTGAAATCTTAAAGTTTCGAATTTTAAAAAAAAAAAAATTACATCAATTAATTTTTTTATAGAATTTCTGAATTTTACTTTTATTTATTAATTTACAAAAAAAAAATGAATTTGTTATAAATATATTTTACAATTACTCCATTATAAAATCTATAAATCTAATATCCCTACAGATCCTTAGAGATCGTTATATAATTCCTGAATAATACATATATATGTATGTCTTTCATATGAATTAAAATTATTGAATTAAAATTAAATTAAATATAATTATAATTGTATATGTTATAAAAAAAAAAATGTGTACCTATTAAATAAAAAATCATTGAAATATAATATAATAATTTTTAATTTTTATGTCAGAGAATAATTATCATGTATATGTGTATTTAAATAAAATTATTTAAAATATAAAAAAAGACAAAAAAAAAATCACTTCTTGTTTCCTTGAATTTACATCAACAGCAGTAATAAGAAAGAAGAACCTTATAAAATGCATTTAAAAATAAATAAAATGTATTTTTCATTATTAATTTTTCAGTATCTACAATTTTCATAATAAATACTTAAATCTTTTTTGTTTTTATTGTCAATAAATTAATTTGGATTTAATAAAATAGAATATCGAATAGAAAATGTATGTAAAAATAATATTAATTAATTAGAAATGTGAGAATCATTAAAAATTATATTTTTTTTTTGTAAGTTTATCAAAAAAATTTACAAAAAAAAAATTATTTTTATAATCACAATTTAACAAAATTTTTAAAAAATAATTGAATTCAAAGAAAAATCAATTCGAATTTCGAAATTAATTCTAATATAAAAATTTTTCAATTAAAATAAATACCGAAAGAAAAAGGGAATTCGATATTTCTTTTCTAGCAAAAGAATCTTTTGTGTTTTAATTTTGAATTTAATTTATACATTTTTTTTCTATATAAAGAATATATAGTCAAATATGGCAAAAAACGGGTCAGTGAATTCAAAACAAAATAATATTATAAATTATAAAAAATTTTTTAGATTTTTTAATATTTTTTGTTTTAAGAAGTTTTGTATTGAAAAATCATTGGAAATTAAATTTAGTTTATATTCATTAACTTTAAAGTGAAATAGATAATTTTTGTTTTCTTTAGGAATTCATTAATTAAGAAATATATTTTTTTTGTTTAAATCAGAATATTATTAAAAATAAAGTTTTTAAGTTCTAAATTTCTCTAATAATCATAAAAAAATAATGTTTTAGAATAATATTAATGTAATGTAAGTATATATATATATATACATAATAAAAAGAATTTTAATTACAGAATATTAACAAAAAAAAAAATCAACTTCTTACAAAAGACAAAAAAAAAAATATAAAAGGACACATAAATATTAATACATTAAAAAAAATATATTCAAAAACAAAGAAAAAAGAAATATTTGTGCTGCCTAAATTGCAATTTTAGTTAATTTTTCTTATATACATATTTTTTTTCTAAAGAATATAATGCTTTTCTTTTCAAATTTTTATAAATGAAAACAAACAAAAAAAAAATTTAAAAAAAAAAAAGAAGAATAATACAAAACATTAGAAATTTTTATTAAAATCATTAAAAATTATTAATTAAAAATAAATGTTTTTTCATATTATATATTATTATAAAAATAATAAAATATTTAATTCTTGATTATTGTTAAAATATAATTCTTAAACAACACACATATATACATAATTATAGTTATAATTATTATTTTTTTTTGTTTTTATATTCAATTAATAAAATTATATAAAAAAAAAGAGATTCTTTTTAACATTTATAAAATATTAAAATATAAAATAACAGTAAAAGAAATTTTTAGTATTACTGTTGTTTTGAGGTCAAAAAGGTTTATAATTTTATTAAAAGGTTTATAATTGATTTCCACTACTATTCTACTCTATCTTGCATCTTAATTTGAAATATTATATAATTTCAATATTATGGTGCCATATTTTCAATAGCCACATAAAAATATACTTGAATTTTAAATTCAAAAATAATTTTTTTCCCGATAAAGAAATTATTAAAATATAATATCGTCGGCAAAACTGTAATACCATGTAAGTTCAAATATTTCCAAAAAGTACTTTAACAATTTTCTATATTTAGGAAATATCAAAAAGTTCATCTTTTAAATTTATGAAAGAATAAAAACTAATAAATAATTACATATTCTTTAAATAATTTTCATATTTTCATAAATTTAAAAGATTTAGTATTTAAGATTTTCTAAAAAGAAAATAATTAAAGTATTTTTTTTAAATATTTGCACTTACGTGATATCACAGTTTTGCTGACGATATATATATTATAATCATTTTACAAAAAATTAGAGTGGAATACATAATTATCTTGATTTAATTATGTCGTCATATAACTTTAATTACAATAAAAATAATTGATTTAAAATAAAATATGTTAGCTAAAATAATTTGTGGCTGTATTTTTTAAAAATAATATGATTAGTAAATACATATTATAAGTTTGCAATTTATCATTTTCACAATATTTATAATTTGTCAACATTTAAAACATTAATTTATTATTTTCAATGTTTAGTTTTTGTTTTCTTGCTAATCAGTATGGAATACTTTGGTGTTAAAAAAATATTTATATTATTTTTATCTATTTGATAATAAAATAAAATGTTTTTTTGTTTTTCATTTAAGATAAAAATTTTCATTTAAAGTAAAAAAATCAAATAAAATAAATTACCATAGAATAATTTGATTTAATTACATTTAAAATAAAAAAATATCTTGATTAGTCTAGATAAAATCTTGAATTTTATCTTTTGATTATTCTAAAAAAACAAAAATTTATTTATGTTTTAAAATTTATTTACTTATATAAATATAATAAAAATATGTCCATAAATATTTTTAATTAAAAATAAATAATTCTTTTTTTAATTTTCATGTTCTTTATGTTTTTTGCGACAAGATAAATTGTTAATTCTAAGGTCATCTTGTTTTAACCTTTTTATTTTTTTTATTTTATCCAAAATTATCATGTTTTAAGGAAAATAATAATAAGGTTTTTGTAAATTTGTGCTTTTTTTTTTGCCTCATAAAGGAATTTATAAGTTTGATTAGATATTTATTTCTGATTTATTTTCATGAGAAATTTTTTTTAAAATAAAAAAATATTTAAAATAATTAATATATGAATATGTATGTATATATATATATATATATATATATATATATATATATAGATAAATAATGTTACAAAAACTTTTTACTTTCCCAAATCAAAAAATCAGTTGTGTATAAAATAATTATAAAATAATTATAATAACAGGAATATTTAAAAATATAAGGACTAAAAAAGAAAATAAAAAAAAAGATGTAAAGTAAAAACTACAAAAAAATATTACAGAAATGATAAAAAAAAAATATTGTTAAGATGTAAGATTTAAAATTAAAAACAAAATAAAATTTCTCTTTTAAATCCTCAGAAAATTATTCTCGAAAAGTTATACATCAGAAAAAAAACAAAGAAATAAATAATATTAAAAAACAAAAGTTGAATTACAAATTGTTTAAAAAAAATCAATTTCTCTCTTTAATTTTGTTTTTTTCAAATTTAATTGAAATCTATAATGTAAATGTGAATTTATAATTCTTTATTTAATTTTATTAAATACAAAATTTTTCCTATTTCAATTTGTTTTTTAATACTAAATTAATTTTATATTTCTTTCCTAAAAAATGTATTATAAATATTTTTTTGTTTATTTTTATTATTTATATATATGTATGTATAAAAAGAAACTGAAATAACGAATAAGTTTAAAAATATTGAAAAATTCAATAAATTTAAAATTCTGAAAATAAATTAAAAAATTAGAATAAATTTATATCTTCTCTTAAATTATGGTGTAAAAATTTGAAAATTTTAAAATATTAGTTATGTAATTAATAAAATAATTGAAATCTTCGGAGTTTTATTAATTTTTTTTTTGTTTTGTTAAACAAATCAAGTTTTCCGGGGATGTGATTTTTAGCTTTAGTTAAATTTTAGTTTTTCAGGAAGAATCACTTATATTTTTTAATGTTTGATTTAAACTTTGATTTTGGTCACTACTTAATTTAAAATTTGAGATTGCGATAAAATAAAATAATTATTTATTGTGAGAAAAATATTTAATTTGTGTATACTACTGTGTGTATAACAAATTTAATTGAAATTAATTTTAAGATTAATTTTTTGTTTTCGAATAGTATTGAAGTACCATCTCCTTGTAAGAGTCCAGTATTATACATACTATTTTTTGAAAAAAAAATCTTAATATTTTTAAACTTATTCATTTTCTTTTTTGCATTTAGAAAGATAGATAAACATGAAAAGCAAAATATAATTAAAAAAAAAAAATATGCAGTCTTCTTTTTAGTGTGTTTATTGTACAATTTTTTTTTTCTTTAATTTTTTTTTTTTTTTTTAGTCAATAATATTAATGTTGATGTCATTAATAAAAATATTGAAAAAATAAAAAAAAAAAAACAAAGAAACAATTTACTTTTTAGGTACTTATAAATTAAAAATAAATGAAAATAAATGAATAAAAAGATTTAAACAAAAACTTATAAATGAATAGTTTTTTAACAAATAATTCCAATTATTTATTATAAATCTTTATGTCTTTTTGTTTTATAATTTAATTTTTTGTTCAACTACTTTCTTATTATATTTTTCGATTATGAGAAGGAATTTAAGTAAAAAGGGATTATACCCGATAGAAAATAGGTGGTAAGTATGAAATCTAAAAGAAATTCTTAAACATTTTTTAATGTGAAAACTGAAAATCTATAGTTAATGAGAATAAACTCTGGTTTTAAAAGAAGACTGGCCGAATTTTTGTATAAAATGTCTTTGTAATCATAAACTTAATAAGTTCCTTACACTTAACTTGTGATTTGTTATCCTTATTTTGTTTTTTAATAAATTAACTTTTTATTCAATAAATTTATTAATATTCGATTTATAAATTTGAATATATTTGCAGTATACAAGAATAGTGCTTATATTTAAAACATTTTTATAAAATTTATTTTCTGAGGAATATTAAAAAAATTTTTAAATTATTTCTTTTATAGAATGGTTTTTAATTTCTCATTAAGACTTTTTTTTATTATATTCAAGCAAATTAAATATAATAAAAAATTGTCTTTTCCTACATTTGAATGTCCAACTTTTATTTTGAAAAATTGAACATATTCAAATTATTAGAAATATTTGTACTTCATATTCAAAACATAACTAATTAAAACTAGTTAAATTTTAATGAATTTTACCTGATAACTCTCAAGTTTTACAATGCTATTTTGATAAAAACTATTAAAGCCTGTTTATTACAAATTCTGTACAATATATTAAAAACGTTTCCTGATTTTAACTCGAAATAAAAAAGAATTAAAAAAAATAGAATCTGAAATTTTTGAATTTCTCAATTATTTTCAATACTTTTGGCAACTAGTGAAAAATGGCTTAAATATTTTATATAACTTATTAATTTAAAAAAGTACTCTTATATACCCTTGTTAAAAATTTTTGAATTATGAAATATTTCTATACATATTGACTTAGTTAACGTTTATGAGTAACGCTGAATTTTAAAAACAGACATAATTTATTAGAAAAAATTTCATTAAAACTATTGTAGTTTTTGTAAAGGTTTTAAAACTAAATAGAAAATAAATTACACTATATACTTTTTTAATTTTTTTTAAAAGAATCCAAAATTTTTGAGAGAATTTTTAAAATCTAATTATAGTTGCTTAATTAAAAAAATTTTTTTGGTGCACTATGCATTTTAAGAAATATTAGAATCTTCTTTAGCTTTGAATCAATTTGTTTAGCTTTTTTAAAGTATTAAATTACTGATTTTGCTCGTAATCAACTTGTTTTCTTTTTTGTAGATAAATGTATATAAGATTCCTTACTATTTATATATTATTTCTTATCTATTCTAATATGTTGTGGAATTTCTAATATGTTGTGATTTTGTAAAATTATAATTGTGCTTTAAAATTGTGTAAATTGTAATTATTAAACTACTTCCCCTATTATGAATGTCTACTGTGTGTAAAGTCTTCAATTTTTTTTTAATATCCAAGTCTTTGAAAATTTAATTTTTTAAGTTAAAACTGAGAAGCTTTAAAATTTTTATGTACATTATAAATGCAGAACATTTTTAAAGCATTTCAGTCCTAATCTTAAAAACTGAATTTTTAAAAACATGAAATATTCCATTTTTCCCATTTTTGGATAGACTTTGGATAAGAATAGAGAGAGCTAAGTTAAAAATAAGGAATAATCTTTAAATACATTTTAAAAATGAAAATTATGTAAAAAAATTTCAGTTTTCAAAAGAGACAGTTTTCAACAGCAGAAAGCAGTTTTCCCACATAAATCTTTTACTAGTAGACTTTTATAATTGCATGACTTCAATCTATACTTGTTAATATGTATATACTTTAATTAATTTCAGTAGACATTCTTAAACGAGACTTAGGGTTCAATTATGGAAGCCGATTTAGAATTGATTTTATTTAATAAATAAAGTTAAATCGATAACAGCTATTTGGGAATTCTATCAAAGTAATAGAATTTGTAAGTGAATTGTTGTGGTAGAATTTAAAATCAATGTTGAGCAAATCATCTTTCATAATATCATGCTTTCTTCGAATCGGTTTATTAAAAAAAAAAAATTGATTTAATTGCAGTCAACTTACATAATTGGGCCCACAAATTATAAAAATCTTATGTGGTCTATTCGATGTGTTATTTGTTTTCCTCTCCTATTTTCTATTATAATTTATAATAATTTCTTTTTATATTTTCTCATAGTATATAATTTCTTTAAAAACTTTCAATTAAATTTTTGTTTTAGGATGCACCGTCCGTTTTTTCAATATTATTAACAAGAATTATATTTATATTATATAAAATATATATAATATATTTGAATTAATATTGAAATTACCAATAAAATAAAAAAAATAAAAAAAAAAATTATAAAAAAAAAATTAAATTAATAAAAAATAAATTTTTTTCTCTATTAATTCGAATTTGTTCGTGGTATTTATTATATAATTATTAAAAACATAATTAAATTTAAAGATAAAAAAAAAATAAAAGTTGCCTGTAAAAAAACATTCATTTTAAACAAATTATTATGAAAATAATAATAAAAAAAAACTAAATTAAAAAAAATAAATGTACTTATGTATATTGGTAAATGATCCTTCGTTTTTTCTTTCTCTCTAAGAGACCATTTAAAGAGAAAATTTTTATTTTCCTTGACAAAAACAAAAAACCAAAAATATTGAAATTTTGAAAAATTTAAGATAAAAATGATAAAAAAAAATTACACATAAAAAATATTCATACAATCTATGTGGTACCAATAAATATAATAATAAAACAAAAACAAAAGATAAAATAAAAAAAAAAATTGTAATGTATCAAAAGGAAAAAAGTAAAATTAATCTTTAAACAAAAAATTATACAAAATGAAAAAAAAACTCACAAAAAAATCCAAAAAAAAAAGATGAGAGTAAAATGAACTTTTTAGTATATTTGAGACTATTTTTAAAATATTTTCAAAATTATTTAAAACTTATAAGAAAAAAAAATACAAAAAAAAAATTAAAAAAAAAAAAACATATTTGTAATCGAAATATAAGATAGAAAAAAACAAGAACAACAACAAAAGAATAAGATGAAAAAAAAAAATGAAATAAAGAACTTTCAATTTAAAACTCTAAAAACTGTCATAAATTTTGAATTTAATTTTTAAAAAGTCGAATGTCGTCTGTATATACAGCCATAAATTTGACATTCGAATCAAACCAATGTCAAACTGAATTTTGAATAATTTGATATTTAAAATGCAGACGCCAGGGAAAGTAGTACTCAATTTTGAATTTTTTTTTTTAAATTCAAATAGCGTTAACATTGTTTAAACATACCAAAACTGAAAAAGTTACTATACATTATATTATACAATATTTATAACACTGCACTTTTGAAGTTCGGTTCTGAATTTTCTACTAGTAAGCAATGTGTGTAACTACGGCAGTCTGGTCACTTACCTAGTTACCTCTATGATGTAATGAAAACTGTGGCATGAATATCTATGATAGCATACCGTAGCTCTATGCTCCTCCTAGGAGTGAAGAAGGAAAAAAAGCTGTGTGTATAATAAAATAGAGAAATTTTAATAAGCAATTTTGGAAATGCAAGCAAAATATATTTTTTTTTGAAAATGAGGGTGCCTACCAAAATGCAGATATTACGTCAATTTGACTTATCTGCATTTGGTTGATGCCCTACGGAATACTGGAAAAATTGTAATTTGTAAAATAAAAATAATTGTAGATGACGACATTAAAGAATTATTTAGGATAAATTTTTTTTTTTTATATTCAATTAATTTAGTTTAATATTAAATTTTGAATAATATGACAACAATAAGATTGGATTTTTTGTAAAAATACTCGTTTTTAAAACTTACTTGTGATTAAATACAGTACTTTCAATTTGGACAGAATTAGAACTATAATAGCTCAGTATTTGAATTTAAAAAAACACCTTAATTCCTTTTTTGTTTCAGAAAATTTTCGGTAATTTTGTTATTTTTGCCAAATATATATTGTATACTTATAAATGAGAAGAATGTGCATCTTCTATGTAATGAAGAACCAAAAATATTCGTCATATAGGACAATATGTTTTTGGTTGAAATTTTAAGACAAAAATTCTAGTTTAATAAGAAGAAATAAATAGTTTCAAAAATTTAATTACAATAATTTTTTTCTGTAATAAAATATTAATATAGATACACGTATTTCTGGTGGTAATATAGAATTATTAGTTTTGTTAAAGGATTTAAAGTAATTTTCAAAAATATTTCAAGGACTCTTACAAAAATCAAAAGTTGCAGAATTTAAATTCTAATATTTTTATTTCGACTTACCCTAGTTTTGCTATTATTCAATAAGCAAACTCAAATCAGAATATTAAAATTTTTTATAAATTTTTTTATTTTATATATACAATATTTTACATACTTTTATTATAATTACTTAAAGCTATATATATATTATATTTTTATTTAATTACATTATTATTAAAAAAATTATTTATAATCTCAATTATTATTTTTTTTTTTTAATTTTTAATCTTTTTTCATGAATATTTTTGACATACGTATTACAGGTGATTCAAAAGCAATTGATATTAATAATGCTACAAAAAGTGATATAACTGCATTACCTAAAAAAACTGTTAATACAAATAAATGTTGTAAATGTATTGGTCCTTCCATTAAAAATGATGTTATCATCATTATTGTTGGATGAATTAAATATGTACAATAAGTTAAACGACTTAATGGTAAAAATAATTCATATGATAAAAATTTATTAATTGATGGTGATAAATCCCAATAACATGATAATGTTATCCAAACTAGACCAAGACCCCATGCTAAAATGATTATTTATTTTAATATAATATAAAAGGATATATAGGGAAAATGGATGGGTTAATTACCTGTATGGCCAACGCTAACATAAAATGCTGTTGCTAAAATATTCAATTGTCCATTCCATACACCAAAAATTAATATAAAAAGTAATCCAACACTTAAAATCCATAAGACAATATTTAATAAAAATGGCACTTTTGGTGGTGTTTTATATTTAAATGTTATATAACCGGTAATCATACCTGTTAGAATAAAAATAAAATCATAAGTTGAAGCCTAGTTGCAATATTATCTATTTGAAAAGGTTGAAATTCGTCTTATTATACATATATTATACAAGATGTTCAAGAATTGATGGTATTTTTCACGTAGGGTGATAGAATGGTTCTAAATGAGCACAAAATACATTTTGGCGCCCATTCCGTCTTACTTTTCCGTCTATCGTGTTTGATTAATTGCGACAAGGTAATTTTGAATTCAGTCCAGATTTAGTGTTTTCCGTTAAAACTTAGTAAAAAAATTTAATAAAATTAAAATTTCTTAAAGTTTATAATTTTATTCACAATTTTCTATTCTCTTAGTTCCATTCTAATCTATCACACAAGTTGAAAAATACCATCAGTCCATAAATAATAAATACTCTATATGTTTGTACTTCATATAAAGTAAAAAATTTACATATAATTAAAAACACATACCAATTATATATGGTCCAATTCTTTGCCATGGTTTATCATATAAGAAATCAAATGATTCAAATGGTTCTGCAACTTTATGCAAATATCGATAATGTATTGATACAACTCCAGCCGTACCCCATGATATAAATAGTATTGCAAATGTTGTTATAATTGAAAATTTCAAATACCTAAAATTTTATTAAATAAAAAAATATTTTAGATTTGCATAAAATTAACAAGACTTTAAAATCCAAGAATGTTATAAAATTATAAATTTTCACAAAAAAAAAATTTTTTTTTAACTTACTTTGTTGATATTATTAATAGCACAACAGCTAAAATATAAAATTGCATATCATTTGCTAAATACCATGACCATATCATACATAATTCAGAAAATGGATAAAAATTATTAATGTAAAGAATATTTCGCCACCAATAATTTGTGCAAGCAATATTTGCTGTTGTCGGTATATGAACAGTTCTATTGAAAACGAAACTGAAAAAGAAAACAGAAAGTTTAATATTTTTTGTAAAATCTATATTAGAATAATTCTGGTGTAGAATAATATTCAAATTCAGGAACGTTGAGTTTAAATTTTAAAAAATCAAATTAGCAAAATTAACAAAGATTATTGATGTATTTAGATTATTGGTGATTATTGATGCATTTCTGTATGCTCACCAATAATATGGAAAAGTAAGTATGTATTTTAGAAGGCATATGAAAGAAACAAAATTAAGAGGTTCGAGAACTCAAAAGAAAAATATGAATTTAAATGTGAGCTTATATTACAAATAGAAAATTTAAATATACTATGTGTTTGGATTATAATAGTCTTGACTAATTATCATTTGAAAGCATCCTCCATAACCATCGCATTTGAAAAATATTACAGTGAGTTATCGGTATAATGTATATTTCTAATAAGAATTCAAATAATTTTTTTAATTTAAATATGAAGTGTAAAATGTTTGGACTGGAATTTAGGGCTCGAGATGACTAAGTAATAATATCAAAAATTCTCATGTTTGATTTTGTGGAATAAAAGGAGCAAGATTTCAATTACAATTTCAGAAATAATTCTAATATGTCTCATATTAAGTATAAGGCGATAAAAGCAGACGTTTTGCTGCTCTTCTAAAGAAATAAGAATATCAGCGTTAGTTTCAAAATTAAAAGCTCTGCAACATTAATCATCACATGGTTACATTACATTTTAATCTGGGAAGAACAATATGAAAAACTTAAATGGCAAATGAGTTTTTTCTAATTTTAATTTTCAATTTTTATATATTTACTTACTTAAGTGAAAATTCCGTAAAAATTATAACAAATAAATATGCTGGTGTTAAACGTATATATCTATAGAATACCAAAAATGTTCCTTTTAAAAATCCTTTCTTAACAAAATCATTTGAATTTGTTTCTTTTCGTTTAACATTTTTTAAAAATATTAAAACTACTAATAAACCACTTAGAAAGAAGAATGAATCAACAGAAAATGTTGCATTTCCAATAACTTGATATGCAAATGATCTTTCAGCAATGTTACGACGAAACTATTAAACAAAAAAAAAATATTTATTAGCAATTAATTTTAAATTTATGTTTCAATAAAATTTTTATAATTTTTTTTGTTATTAAAAAAATATACTCGATTTTCTCCAATCAAAAACATTTGTAAGTATGTATGAACCATAATTGTCCAAAGTAATGATAGCACTCTAATTCCATGTACACAAGATAAAATTTCCTACATAATTAAGCAAATTTTATATAAAATTATTAATAATTAAAAATATTAAAGAAAAATATTAAAAAAAAATTACCTCATTTCTTCTTTTAAATGTACAAATTGTTGATAAATTTGATGAAAATGAAAAACATAATATGATTTTTTCGAAAAATCCTATTTAAGAAAAAACAAACAGTTTATTAAAACTATAAAAATAATATTCTTGAGTATTTAAAATTTGTATATTGCAATGAATGTGAAAATTAAAAAAAAAATTCATTCAAAATTAGAATAAGTCCATAGACGACCGCCTATGGCATTACAGAGTTAAGGTTGTACTAAAAACTTGCTCACATATTTATATTATAAGGTGGCTTCAATTACGGAATAGACTTTTTATGTGAAAGCCTTAAGCCGTATTGTATTAATTGGGAATTTCCGAAATTTTCTAATAAGAAATTCCCACTTTTTATTCCAAACTGAATAATTTTTTTTTTCAATTATCCTAAATATTATATATTATTTTAACTATTATTAACGGATACACTTACAGATACTCTATAACAAGTATGTGAATTATGTTTAAATTAACACATCTAATATTTATTGTATAATTTCTATTGAAAGCTGTTTAAATGCGCCTCATATAATTATTACTATTATGTAATATTGTATAAAGTGTGTTTATAACAAGTCATTGAATATTTAGCTCAAATAAAAAAATTTTAAATGAAAATTTATTTCGAAAATCTCTTATATATATATGTAGTTAACGAGCCGTATAAAAATAACGTAATTTTTATACGATCATTCGTAATAATAGTTAATTTTTTTTTTGAAATCAATGATATAAAATTAAATTACAAAATATCTAAAATTAAAATTATAAAACATAAATTATCACCTTATTTTATTTCACATTTCCTTTATATTCAAAGAAATATTAGTTTATATACAATGTAATAAAAATTCTGTGGTAATGAGAAAAAGCTGTTCAAGTCGATTTAGTATAAAATTGAGATTATTACACTGTACATATTTCAATTTTTCATATTGAATATTGAATCGTGTAAAATTTGGTTCAATCCTTGCAAAATGTGTTTCAATTGCTACATATACACCTGCAAAATTAGGTTCAATTCGGAAAATTCTTAAATTGTATGGCATTTTATTAGAGTCTTTAAAATGTTTTTGGAAATGACTTTAATATAGGCTTATCATGTAATGAAAATTTTGCAAATAAGTTGGCGAATATGACTATTTGGTATTACGTACGAAAAATTCACAAAATTTCTTTGCGAGTTCGTTAAAAAAAATTCACGAATTTAAATTTGATGCGACAAGTGTGTAAATTTGTAAGTTATTGTGTTAGTTTACTTACAAAAGAGAAAAAGTACTGCCATTACAGCAAGAATGCACTAATAAATCGATTCGTCCTATATAATTCCATTAAGTAGTGAATTCGCCATACATAACCAGCTTACAAAACTTAAATTTGATTTACATATTTGAAACTAACAATTTCGATTTAGTTCCTTCCCTTATATCGCAACAGAATCATTATCTTTTCGGCTTTAAAAATTTTAAATTCTGTAATATTTTTATTTGGTGTTCATTTATTTATCTTTGTTTTTATACACTAAATTATAATGATCCGTATATTGCAAAATTAAAATTATAAAGCATTGAAATCATAAAAAATGATTGATTTGAAATGAATGGTTTAATTTCATTATTTGCAGTTTGAGCTTTTTTTTTATTATTTATACGAGTAATTGAAAAAATGAAAAAATTAAAATAAATGATATTATAAATAATAAGAGTTTTTACTGATTGATATCGGAAAAATGCACAAATATAGGTTAAATAAATTGAAAATTGCAATTATATTTTTATTTTAAATGTAAAAAAAAAAATTTTATTGAAAGAAATCTTATTTGGTATAATACCGTATCGTATAATGAATGGGTCTTTGATTTAAATCGAAATGTTATACTAAAAGCAAGTTGCGTTTAACATGCATCAAAATCAATTTAATTTATAAATTTTTAAAGTGATAAATTGAGCATGTTGGTGTTATTTAATTATAAATGAATTTGCTTTGTACAATAATTAAGAGTGATTATAGTGATAGTGAGAGCAATTCAAGCAAGTGTTATTATATTTTTATTAACCGTAATCAAAATATTGTAAAATTTTCTGAGAGTTCTCTAGTCTGGATTAAAAATTTTAACCGAATAGATTTGTATGACTTAAGATTTTTAAATTTGGAGAAAGTAAAAGTGTGGGAATTTTAATGAAGTAGTAATTATTATAAAGCTTTAAACTTTTTTATAGCAAATTACCTTAAATTTTAAATTTATACGTGCTAATTAGTTTTAAAGGGCTTTTACTCATAAGAAAAACGTATGAAAACGGGTAAGTACATTATGTGGTTTTTGTTGTAAATTGGGTATAAATCATAAGTCTTAATATCTTGGGTATAAATTATAAACTCTTCAACTTCTATTTAATAATATATTGAAAAATTTCATTTTCAGCACTCAGATTTTAATTTAGAAAGTACTAAAATATGAAGTCCAAAAATCTATCTTTTTCTGTTTGTTATGCAGACTTGGTAATTTATCATAATGATTAATTAACATTTATAGAGTCAAACTTCAGACTATTAAAAAAATTACTTAAAGATTTTAATATAAATTCATTTTTCATTCTATATACACATATTAATTAAAAATGAGAGCAAAATACTCATATAAATAAAAAAAAAATATTTACTCACCTAATGATCTTTTTGGTGTTACTATTGTAACAATACCAATTCCATTTTTTTCAGTAATATTATCATTAATTTTTGAATTTTCATTAAATTTTCTATCATTATTATGATGATGATTATTACTTTCATGATGATGACTATTATTATTGTTATTATTATTATTATTATTATGATTAAAATTTTCTATTTCATTTTTATTAAATTTTGCTAAACCTGATGTTGCTTCAATATCAACATTATTATTATCTTCAATTGCAATTGAATTCATTTGATATAATTCAAATGTTATTTTTTCATTATTATTCTTATTTGATTTAGATGATTGTGTTGTTTGGGTTGTTGCTGTTGTTTGTCTTATAATACCATCATCATCCATTAAATTACTATTACCATTTCTGTTATTTTTATCAGATATATTTTGAATTTTTTTTATATTATTATATTTTTCATTTTCATATTTTTCTGATATACTTGGTATTTTCTTTTGTAATTGATCTCGTGTACGATTTTCAATATAAATTTCTAACCAACTTGCATAACTTATTAATGCAATAACAAATACAATGAATGCACTATACACATTCATCCATTCAAATATAATGCAATAATTTTGTTTAGTGAACAGAAAAACAAATATAATAAAACAAACATAATATATTAGATTTTTTTTTTTGTTGAAATAAAAATAAAATAATAAAAAAAAATTTTTGCAAGAAGTATAAGAAGTGTTACTCAATATGGGTTTTTACTATTTATTAAAAAATGTTAAAAGAAAACTGTTGTGATAGTGTTATATGAGTATGATAGTAAAATCTGTGTTTAATTTTCTTTTAAATCGAATTATGTAACTCAATTAATAAATCAGTGACAGTTTATGTTATTAAAAAGTAATTTATGTTGTTCAAATAATTTCCTTTATTTCTTCTGAAATTTTTGAAAATAATATGGCTTAAAGTATGTCGTAACGTATTTCGGTAACAAATCTAAATTGTTGACAACACTATCAGAGAAAATAAAAAACTTCAAAATTTTACCGTAATACCGTACACTTTACCGTAAAATTTTACAGTAAATTTGTTGGAATTTGTTTTAACTAAGTTTTATATTAAAATAAATTTATACATGTAATTTTATAATGTATTTCGTTTATCTTCTTTCTATGTAGGATGTGCGAGATTCCATGGAGCTTCCGAAGCAGGAAAATAGAATGAGAACGAACAAAAGTTATATAGTGAGATTTTACCTTTTGGATTCTCCTTCACGAGTTATGAAGCTTCAAAATTGGAATATCTGAAAACCGTCTAATATTTACATTTTTCGGGAAATATAAAATGTAAAACGACATATAACATGTAAAACCAATTTTGCATACTCATTTTAAAGGTAATGAAATTTCCTTTCTAACGATATATCAATAGTTTTAAAGACCTTTTTAGTTTCAGAGATATTTATGTGCAAAGTCAAATTTTTTAAAAATATTTTCCTTTAATCGTCATTTACTCATAATTACACGTCAATAATCTATCAATTTCGGGAACTCCATTGAGTTTCAAACACCCTGTATAAATAATTTTCAATATTTTGCTGTCAAAATTGTATTTATAATCTAGCTCAATTAATTTGATTTTTTACCTATAATTATATTTAATTAATTTAATTAATTATTTTACAAATTTAATTTTTAAATATTTTTTTATATATTTATTAAATTACCAAAATATTTTAAATTTCATTTCTTTCCATATATTATAATCACCAGGAACTGGACGAATTTTTAATATTTGAAATTTTGTTGATGTTGTATTTAATGATATTAAATAATTAATATGTGGATCAGATTCTAAAATCACTTTAATATCACCAAGATTACATGATTTCGGTAAACATTGTCCTAATTGAATAACATTAGTCTAAAAGGAATTATAAAAGAAAATTTAAATTTGTATAATTATTAAATTAATTGATTAAAATTTCGTATTTTTGTTATTTATAAACTTACGATATTTTTTGGTAATGAAGTTCTAAAAGAAATTGTCGAAACACTATAACTGAATTCAAAATGTTTTCTTTCATTTGTCATAATGTTAATTTCATTACAAAATGTTTTTTGTCCTAACCATAAATTATTTCCAAAAAGAATTTCACCACGATAATGACCTGATGAATCGTATGCTATAGTAATAAAGAATAAATTAAAATAAAGAAAAATTGCATATGTGTTAGGCGCAGTTATATACAATAATGTGTAAGAAATGAATTTTTTGTTCATTTCCTTCAAAAATCAAATTAAATGTAAAGTCTTAAATTTTCAATGGTGGAAATCAAATTTTTAGCTTTTAAGGTAAAAATTATTTTGCTGCTCCAAATGTCTATTAAAAATAATATTCTTTTCAATTATGCTGATCTGAACATTTTTATTGATTTAAAGTTTATGCTTTACTCGAAAATTTTAAATATTCTCGCTGTCTCAATTCCCAATTGTAATTCAATTTCCATGGATAAAATATAAATTGACCCATTGACTACCAATTTTGTTTCTAATTACGATTATGTATAATATTACAAGTATATTGCGCTATAAACTTTACAGGTAATAACAATTAAGAGATTAATAAAATTTAAAAAAAAAATTGTAAATTTACCTTTTTGTGCCCATTCAATATTATTATTTAATGCTGATAAATATGCTAATAATTCAACACCACAAACTGGTGTTAATTTTGTACGAATTTCAGATGGTTGCCAATAAAAATGATCATAAGCATTTATAAGTATATGAAAAATATTTTCATCCTGTTGATTATCTAACGAATATATATTGTGATGTGTTGCTGATGAAGAAATTAAAAATTGTGATGATGGTACAGATGACGAAGATGATGATGACGATGATGATGACGGCATTTCATTTAAACTATTATAATGTGTTCCAATATTCTTTTGTAATTCAATTTTACGAAATATATTTGAATTTTTATTTTTAAATTTATTTTTATTACCAATTTTAAATATATTTGTATTATTATTATTATTTAAAATTGCTACTGTTGGTGATTGCGTTGATGATACTGGCATATTTGATATTATCGTATCATTTGTTGTTATTAATTTATTTGTAATTGATTTCATTGGTGTTTTTATTGTTGTACTAGCTATCATTAATCCATTATTACCAAAATGTATTGATGTATGTAATTTTTTTGTTGTTTCTTTATCATATTTAATATTATTATTTTCAATAATATTATTTGTTATTGTTGATGATGGTAATATTTGCTGCTGTTGTTGTGAATTAAATATATGTTCCATTATAATATCACCATTTGTATCATCATCATCATTATCATTTAATAGATCTTGTTCTCTTGGTGATAAACCTAATGATTTTATACTTTGATGTTCATCTTCAATATGATCAATATTCAAATCTAATATTTCTGAATTACTTTGAAATTCTTTTTGTCGTTGTTTATCAATTTCACTTGGTTTCTCTAATATTGCATATGGTTTCTTTTTAATTGATTTTTCAATATTATAATTAATATTTGATTTTTCAGTTTCATTAACTTCATGTAAATGTGTTATTTTAATTAATTTTGATTTTATTTCATTTGTACTGATAATATCAGTAACAAATGCTATTAAAATTATCACTTTAATATTATAAATGAACATTTTGTTCATATATAAATATATTGCTATATATATATATATATATGTATATTTAAAAAATATATTTTTTCAAGTTGTTTTATTAAGATTCATAATATTATAATTTTTATTAAACATTTTTAAATTTTCTTTTTTTATTGGTGAATTTTATTCCATTTGTTACTCTATATTTTTTAATAGAAAAATAAAGAATTAGTTTATTAAACAAAATTTTATGAAAATTGGAAATTGCAATCACAACTATCGTATAGAGATTACATGTTAAAAGGCTACTGTTATGCAAGTTGTTAAGATGTGTTTAAAATTTTAATCAACATTTAGTTCTGGTTTTATTAACTATCAAGCAAGTTTAAAGTTGAGTACAAAAAATTATTTTATATGCTTATATTCTCTTGTTTTCAGCTTTGCTCTTTCAAGTACCCATACATTATTAAAGACTTTTTACATTAAGTATTTATTATAAATAACGATAACATGAAATGATTGCCTTATTCAGAGTACAGGAGAATAACATTTTATACTCTTCGATTAACGAGTTATATAGAAAATTCAATTCACACTGCATAGGCTGTTTTCTATTGACAATAAACTTATTTTTGTTTTGACACTTTGCTCATTTAAAAATTTTGAGAAAATATTTTTTTGTTTTGTATTCATGTCATTTTTTTATTTCAATATATTTTTGGATTTAATTTTATTAAAATAATTTTTTTAAAATTTTCTTCGATTTAAGGAAAAAATCGCAAAAATAAATAATTCGCATAGGAGAACGTGTTTCTAGAGAAAATTCTTAGTTAAACACTATATGAATAACATGTTAGGGTATAAAATTTAGAATATTCAAAATAGCAAATTACTTTGTACGACAATTAATTTACTGTCACTATTGTTAAGTAATAATGACAGATAGCCAACATAAGTAAGGTATAAATGTAATGGGCAGTACAAGTATAATAGTATTGAAATTTAATGTATGTTGCCATCTTCCATCGAATTATAACACAATATTGTGAAATTTGAAGTGATCTTAATAAATTATTGTATATTTATTCTTATTTCTCTACACGTTGTACTTATTATATTATTACATATGCCATAAAATTAATATTTTTTTTTTGAAAAATCCAAAACATCTACATTAAATAAAATATCATGTTTAAAATCACATATGTATATATATATATTAAAAATTTAAAGTTGACTTGTTTAACCTATTTATGCTTATATTTTCCTGATTTGATATCTTTTTCAATCAACATTAATGACAACAAACAGCAAGTTAGTTAAAAAAGCAAGTAAACAAGCAAAAAAAAAAAATTAGCGAAATCTTTTTGGGTGGTGTACTCGTACAATAATAATTACAAAAAATCAGGAAGTAAAATTTATCGCCAAAAAATTTAAATAGTTTTAAAGAAGAAACATTAAAAACTGGAAAACGGAGAAAAGCAAAAACATTTAAGCAAAATAAATTGGATGAATCGCATGTCATGTTTACATGTTATGCATTTTTTTTCTATGAAAACTTGAATCATGAAAAATGGTTACTCCTTTTACTAATTTAATCAAAATTTTGTAATATTAATAAACAGTAATAAGTAAGTAAGTATGTTATAAAACTTATTTTTCGTTAATAGAAAAAATTATGAAATTTTTATTAATAAAGCATAAATTAGTAAAGATAATTTTTAATTTCAATCATAATTTTGTAAGTGGAATTGTGTGTTTTGTTTTTATGTAATTATGCTACATTCAAAGCTATTAACACAGCTGGAAGTCTGGAAAGAGAATGTGCCATTAGAATTAAGCAGTAAGTGCGGGATGTTGCTATTAATACGGGAATAATTTTTAGGTCTTTCGGAGTGAAACCATTTCTGAAGAGAGCAACTCTGTAGCAATGGAGTAATTTTTATTTAAAAGTTTTTTTTATCACATAATTTTTATTAAAACAATTATATTACGTTCACATTCTATGCAATGGAATCTTCATCATGTTACATAATATTTAAAGATTTTATTCCAATGTTAAGAAATTTCCAATTAAAAATAAAAATTTCAAAATCAGGAAATTTAAAAAATTTTGTTGACTTCAATAAAATTAATTAAAATAAATTTTACATAAAAATTTATATAAAATTTTAATAATAATTTCGACGGTTTTTATATATGCTTTTACAAATTGAAATATTTCAAATTAAATTGTGTAATTTATTATAATAAATTGTAGTATTTAATTACAATTTAAATAATTTTGATTAGAACCTTATTCTTTTAATCTTATTATATTGAAATTTTCAAATTAAATCAAATTGTAGAAATAATTTGCAATAGAAAAAATAAAGCTAGATCAAAACTATTTTCATTTCATAAATTTTATATTATATTAGAAAGCAGCTTTGCGTATGTTAGCACAATTTTCATAAATATTTTAATATTAAAAATACATAAATAAAATTCAGTATTATTCACATTATTTTATTTGATCTGTATTAAGTATAAATTAGGTCAGATGAATTAAGGTGAAATTGATCACTCTTTAACAGTTTCAGATAAAATTCGGATCATATTCACTGTCGAAACTTTATTAATCCTAATTTTTTTTCATCTCAAAGTAGAATCAAAATTTATAGCTGAAAACGTTCAAATTTGCACATTAACTTTAAACAAAAAATATGAAAATGTCATTTAATATGGTATAGGTCATCCATATTTAATGACAACACACGCAAGAAGTAAAAGAAGAAAACACAGAACAAACGACAAAAGGTAAAAACAATAATTTAAACGACTATTAAACGAAGATAACAATTTCTTTTAAAGGTCTACGTATAGTATGTTGCTTAATATGAAATAATATGTAAATAACATAAAATAGTAGTTAACCTACGGATTATAGAGGTGATCTCTTTCTAAAGAGGTACTTTTGAGACGTATGTAAAGAGACATATGTTAAAAAACGAACTTAGTGCAAGGGCGCTGAAAATCTGTTTAAGTTATGAAAGTGGCTTTATTATAAAGGGAGAAACGTATGGTCTTGTTAGATTTTTTACTGCATTTATTAAAAAAAATAATTTTAATTGTACATACCAATTTTATAATTCTTATAATATTTGCAGTGAAGACAATTCTATATTAATATAGCTTAAATTGTCAGAATTTTGAAAAATAAATTTAATAATTAAATTATAATTCGCGATTAAATTGTATTCGACTTAATTTCTATATATAAAATTAAAGGATCATTCATTATATAATTATTTTACATTAAATGTAAACAACCTATGTGTTTGTCAAAATATTATTCAATTCTCTTACATTAAATTTTCCAGTACATATGCTCATCAGAAACTGCAATTTTATATTTTAAATGAAAAGATAAGATTAATTTTTGTAATTACTTTAACAAACAAAGTAATATTTTCTACTTATTATTATTATTATTTTTGTTTTTGTATACATATATGATGTAAACAAAATTTTTATTTAAAACAAAATGAGATATAATTATGTACATATATATGTAAATGAATATTATTTTCATGTTCAGTTTACTAGACTTAAACTGGTAAATATTATACTCACTTCAATATAGTTAATGTACATAAATTACAATTATGAGTGTAAAATACCAAAAAAACCCGAAGTACATATACTTACACACATACGCTACATACGATGTTTCAATCAAAATGTTATGTTATTTCTATATATGTGCATAACTGTAGTATGCAACAAGGAAATTCTCATAACAGAGAGTCTAGTGTTAGTCGTTATTATTACATGATTTTTTTTATAACATTTACTTGCATGCATATATACTGTGTGCACACATGTGTATAGTAAACGATAGTGGAGTATTTATGTACTTGTTTACAGACATGAAGTAGTGAAATAAATATTATTATGAGTGCTTTTTTTTCTAATTTTGTTTAAATGAAAAATCTTGTTCAACTAGTTTTCCAAAAAAAAAAAAGAAAAACAAAAAAGAGAAGGAAAATTTTTGTTTCTTTTTTTTTTTGCTCTCTATTACATAGAAGAGCACAAATGAAAAATTATAGAAAAATAAATGGAAAAATATAATAAAAATTTTCATTGCGAAATTTATGAATGAAAAATTGTTATCTTATAGTCATAGAATAATAAATTTTATAATTTTTTTCTTTTTTTTTTATTATTTTCATAATTTTATGTCATCTGGTCTATAGGGGAAAAATTATTTAATTTAGTTGAAAATTTTTTAATTTTTATTATTTTATTAGTCTTTTTACATTGCATAAAATAAAGGTTATGTGATGGCACCAAATTTTAGATGTCGGTCTCTCGGTCTGTCGATTAGATGGTATCTCAAGTTCGACTGAACGGATTTCAGTTAAAATATTGAGATACCGTCTCAATATTTCGACTGAAATCGGTTAATTCAATCGAATAAAAATTTTATATGTGAGTTTTTTTCGGCTATGTCACGGATTGATTAACTTTCGAGATATATCAGTATCGGAAATCAGACCTTTTTGCGATTTTGCATGTTAAAGAAAAACAATCAACCGATTTCTTCAAATTTAATATTTAAGTTCGGTTGTTAGAACAATGAATCTTTAATTTTTTTTGAGAAAATCAGGGCTCGGAAACCGAACAAGCCGAACTTATATATTTTATATTTATTTATATTTTTTACTGTATCTACGGAACTATAATTGATAAAATTTCTTGAAATTTAATATTTTAGTTTTGTGTGTTACCGAAACTAACTGGCGAGCTTTTTAGGAAATTCAAATGGCACAAAGCGAAACTGTACTAAGAGCCAAATTTATATTTTTGAGGAAATGTTAACAGAA